GCCTCTGCTTTTAATTAACAGGCTGGTGCCGGGGCCACCCTGGGAAGCGGAGGGGAAAAAGGGGACGGGACGTGCGCGGAAAGGGGGACTTTGCTCCCCGCTTCCAGCTGAACGCAGGGATGGGATTTCCTAGGAAGGGGCGACGCTTTCCCGCGTTCGCCCGGCGGCCACCGCTCGACCGCAGGCATCCTGAGGGGGGAAATAATAATAATAATGCTAATAATAATAATAAAATCAACCCCGAGGGCCACGAGGCTCCGGGTGGTCTCGCCCGGCTGGACCGCGGAGCCGCCTGCGCCGGAGAACAAAGGGCAGCGGAATTCCGCAGCCCTTCCCGCTTCCCGGCGCCTGGGAGCGGGGGGAAGAGGATGGAAACGGCAGGGTTGTCCCCGGCCGCCGCGGGGATGATTTACGCGGCGCCGCCGCTCGTTTCCGAGCTGCCTGGATATGGATGGAGATAGGGAACGCGCGGGAGCGCCGCGAGCGGGACAAGGACAATTAGGGACAACGGCCCCAATTAGCTGCTCTCCCACGAGCTCCGATGCCGCCGGCATCCGAGGCAGCTCTTTTGTCAGGAGACATCCCCCGTTTGCAGCCCCGTCTTGGCTTGCTTTAAGGATGCCGAGCCCCAAAAAGGCTGGATTTTGCCCCCGTTTTGCCTCATCTTGGCCCTCTCCTTGCCGCAATGTGAGAAATTCGGGATGCGTTCGAAGCGGGAACGGGAACGCCTGGCGCGTTGCCCCTGCGCTCGCGCAGCCTTCGTCCCTTGCCTTTTTCTCGTCATCCTCGGCAGCCTTCTTGAACTCGTGCTCGAAGGAGCTGGCCAGCTCGTTGAACAGCCCGACCTCCTCGCAGTTCTTCAGGAAGCGGGTCGGCGTCGGCGTCTGGTCTGTTTGGGGGAAAACAGGGAAAAACAGGGGCTGGAAAATGCATTGAAACCACCCTCATCCTCTCCGGAGGCTCCTGGGGAGAGCTGCACTGAGAAAAAGCCATTTGGAAAGAGGAAAATCCTAATTTTGGTCCATTTTGTTGGAAACAGAAATGAGGAATCAAATTGCAGCACTGTGGGCAGACTCCTGCCTGGGGGCTGTTTCCCACCCCATCCCTTCCCATCCTGGGGTTTCTGCTGTCCACAAGGATGCGAAAAGCTGGGATTTGATCCCGGGGTGTCCCTGGAAAAGCGGATCTTAAAATAACGCGGCCACGGCAGGGTGAGCGGAGCGGGGATGCGCGGCCGGGCGGCTCCGAGGGAGCGCTCGCCATTCCCAGCCCTCCGGGGCCGCTTTTCCGTCCTGTTGACACGCTGATATCCCGATCCCTTTGGCCACAAACCCGGCGGGCGACGTCCCTGGCGCCGGCCAGCCCCGCGATTCCGGCTTTTCCCGGGGGGGACAAGCGGGGGGGGGAGGGCAGCCAGACGTCCAGCAGCCGATTTGGGGGGTTTGGACCCAAAAGAGGAGCGGATTTTTCTGGGTTTCGCCCTGGAGCAGGTGGCTAAAACCGGGGCGTCTCCACGAGACCTGTTGAACTCGTGGCGCTGCCGGAGCCGCAGGGACCTTACCTGGACGTGGGAATTTGCTCACGTGGAATGTGGGGTTTGTGGCGCGAAAGCCGCCGCGCTCCCTCCGCATCCCGTTTGGGAATGGGGGGAGAGACCTCGGGGGCGCCCCCCGAATCCGTCACCGCTGAAACCTGCACTGAATTATGGAGCCCCGGGAGCAGCTTCC